GGGAAAGGAGTACACTACACTGTGCTAAGGATCCACCTGTTTCCTAGTATTTAGTGGAATTTTTAAGGGATTATCTACTTAGAATCACAGTGTAGCAGCATTTCAAGCAAAAAAGTTTCCTGCGTTTCAGTTATCAAGTGATACGGCGGGGAAACTTAGTTTTAATTTAAATTAAAGAAATATTTTCCAAAGAAAAGCCACCTGGTACTTTACATGAGAAATACAAATTCATTTTGGTTGAAAAGAGCATAATGGTACGTACCAGAAAAGAAGCTCTAGGAATTCAAGAGACTTTTTAGCCACAGCAGAAACCTGGATGTTTGCAAGACACTTGTATGAACAATTCTAACTTATTCTTAACTGGTTTTTAAGGGCAAATTTAGCTTTAGGTTTTCCACAAAACTGTTGATTACTCAGCACTTCACTATGGAAATACTCTCACTGATGGGCACAGGGATCCACCATATGTAGTAATGCTTCACAGTGCTGACTTGTATGGTAAATAGCACTTAGCTGAATTCAAAGAGGCTAAAAAATAGAGGTATATTGCACTAAGTTCCTAAATCGTTAAGTGATTTTAGGCTGGATTTTTGCTCCAGTTGATACCAAACTCTTCTAAAAAAATCTTGATCAAAAATCTGTCAGCAGAAGCCACGTATCCTAGACACTCAGAAAAAATAAGTAATTTCATGTGTGTCATGATTTTTGTCTGACAATTTTCTACAATGGCCTAAAATATTCCCAAACCAGTTGTTCATTCCCACTTGCAAACCTCAATGCAGCACCCTCAGCTGCAGGCCCTCAGTAAAAAAGCCTCAAGGAAAGAAGGATGAAAAGTCCCACCCGGATGTTACATGTAGATGCATCCTTATGAACAGCTACTTGGTTCCACAGCACTTCTCCTATCTGGACAGCTACAGCGATAACGATATTTATAAAATATACAGACACTGAAAGTGTCAAAAGCACATAAGATTTAGGAACAGCAATAAAAGCTGCTCCTCTTCTCATTTCCCTTATGTGAAGTTGTAAATGTTACACAACTAAGTACATTTAAGTGAAGAACAGGTGACAGATACACAACAGACAGTAGGAATTTAGAAAAAAACTGACTTTTACAGATATGCAACTGTGTATTAGTGCTAATGTTGAAGGAATTATGGCAGCTTCAGAGAATTAATTTCAAATTCAGTTTTAGCTTCTTGCAAAAATGGTAGCATGAAATACTCAACATAAATTTATACCAAACATGAGAAGGTGCCACAGGGCCACAGGGTATGCATGTCTGCTGACAGTTAAGTAGCTTTGTTGTTTCTCTGAGAAACAACTGATCTCCCCAGTCCTGCCAGAGACAATGTGCATTTCTGAAATCTCACAGGTTCAGAGCTACCAAAGCCATATGCTTCCTCTGAGGCA